AACACGACTTTTACCTGCTGTACACATATGTGTGTCAACCTACACACACCAAAGCAGTACCAAATAAGTACTTGGAAACCCCCACGCAGCACCAAATGAGTACTTGGAATAGTAAATCTAGCTTCGGCAGAAACATTGAAGGAAGCGGAGGTGGATACCTGCTTCATGAAAACGCACTAAATATGAATAATCTCAAACAGACACTACTATATGACACCAAGTATATGGCAGAAAAAGGATCCAAATCTAGGTTTTTGGTATAATCTACCCAGCGCCCTTACTCGATCTACAGCAAAGACTAAACTGCAAGTAGATAGACAGAGGGATGGATTAGTTGTTACCTTGCGGACTTGGCAACGGAGAGGCGCCCCGCACGCCGGACGACGGATCTTGCCGACGGATGAAGAAGCGATGGGGCTTGAGGAATCGCTGCTACCGCCGCCCTAAGGAAGCGATGGCGACGGATGGAGAAGCGATGCCGCTAATGGAAGGATCTCGAACACTGAATTGCTGCTGCTGACGTCGCCGCCGCCGCCTCCTCCTCCTCCTCCTCAACCTGCGCCGCCGCCGCCCCTCAGCTCCCAAGGACCCGCCCCGCTTGGCCACCCCTCGACTGCGACTCTGCGAGGGAGACGCCAAAGGCATAATCTGTTTCCAGGATCCTCGAGCCGACCCTGTTCAGACGATCCGTGCAACGACTCAGGCCATATCTACAGCCCAGCCTTTTTACAAGCCAATCCAATCCAACTCGATCCTTTTGTTTACATGGCCCATATGCAATCCGTAAAATTAGGCCCGTGAGTTTAGGCCCCTTTCGGCCCCTGAGTTTCCACGATCCATTCCCAGTTGTACTCATCACACCAGGTGCGCCCGCCTCCATCGCGATTCTCGATCCAAACAAACCAAAATTAAGCCATGCACGAATGTACTGGATATATAGATAAGGCCTGCCCTGATGTTGTGATCAGGCCAGATAAGTACTCGATCGTGATGCTTCTTAGTACTAACTCCCGGAATACTCCTATATGTAAACTAAAGAGCGCAGTTTCTGGCTCGGGAGGGCTTCAACTTTTGAGCACCAGCGATAGCATCTGGTGCAGCTCTTATATGCAGTTTAATTTGCACCGTATTCATGTGAATGAGAGCTGCTGAAAAACTAAGTCAAGTTGCTTCCTCTGGCCATAAACAAATGGCAGAACTTGCCAAGCAACAAACATATTCAAATAGGATATGGGGATATGACTGCCTTGCCAGCGCCAGGCACCGAGCTCAAGGTCAACCTGAACCAACCTACAGCGATTTGTCAAGAAACTGAAACAAAGGAAACTGTGATTACTAAAATCTTCATTGTTATATCCTCATATATGCATACTTCTCAATCGTCATTGGAACTTTGGAAGAGTCGACGCATGTATACACTGATTCATTTCACCCTTTCAAGATTGCATACGTTACGGCATCAAATTTCTTAGTGCTGGTTTAGTTTTTTGATTTTCAGGGTTGGATTTGGAGGAGGCGCTAATTGTTCCGACAAAATTGATTTTGAGGGTTGGATTTGGATTTGTGGAGACAATTCATAATCATATAATACCTTCAACGCTTCACCTCAAAACGTTGGGAGGGTGTGACTGTGTGAGCCACCACTTGGTACTGTTTGTATTTTACGTATAGAATAATAAAATCGCTGCAAGGCTGGCTCTATTAACTGGGCCGCGCGCAGCCCGCACCACATGGTATCTGCAGAAATAGAGCTCGCAAGGCGCAGGCCTAATTCACTAGTTAATGGGCCTTTCCGAAGCTAAATTTAATAGCTCATGAACCTTCACGGGACGGATAACCCGCGGGAAGCTGTTGCATGGGGTCGGGCTTGCGCCGGAGCGCGTGACCTCGCGCGGCCTGCTTGAACTCCCATGGCGCCTGGTAAGTCTGGACGAAAAACTCGAAGCTCGATAGCTCGCTCGGCTCGTTGCTAGCTCGACTCGGCTCGTTATGATAACGAGTCGAGCCGAGCCGAGTCAAGATTTTAGCTCGTTAGCTATAACGAGCCAACTCGAGCCAGCTTGCGAGCCGCTCGCGAGCTAAACGAGTCAAGCTTCCAGGAAAAAAAAGTATCAAAACTTGTATTAGTTTTTGTATTACTTCATGTCTTGCACTTTATAATTTACTGGTAACTGGTCTAGACCCTATAAATTGACTGGTAACTGGTTTAGATGCATTTCTTTTGTATTATTATTATTCTCAAACTTTATATAAATGCAAATATTATATTTTATGTATTTTTTATACTTGGCTCGCGAGCTTAACGAGCCAGCTCGAGCTTTTAACGAGCCGAGCCGGCTTTCTGGCTCGTTAGGATAACGAGCTGAGCCGAGCTAGCTCGTTATCTTAACGAGCCAGAACGAGCCGAGCCCAAACGAGCCGAGCCGGCTCGTTATCCAGCCTTACGCCTGGGGGAGGTGTTGGTGGGCTGCATGGCCTGCCCACGTGATTTTTTTTCTTCTAAAACATGCGATAATTTCTTGTATGTACCTACATTTTATTTGTACCATCACGTTTCTTAGGATGCTATCAATAAAACCATATTTCCAATTTATATACCAACTTATGTAGATTATTAAATATATAGCAAATTTTGTCGGTTGTGCAACTACACCTAAGGTGATAGGTCATTACATAACTTGGTAATAGTATCTATATAACTTGTTACAATTTAAGTTGATAATAGCAAACTTTAGTTTTCTTCACAAGGGATAGGAATGGGCTAGATCGATCCACTAGATAGTTGACCTGACTTATTGGATAGTTGACTTGACTCAGATCTATACACAAAAGTCGTTTGAAAATTCTAAAGTTTGAATTTTGAAAATAAGAAAATAAAATGAAAATATAGGATTCTAAATGACTTTAGTTAAAAATATATTACAAAGCCATAGATCATATTGGTAACTGCAGCTTTTGTATATACCATGTCAAGATTTGAAGTCATCTGAAAATTCAAAATTTTAAAAAACACTTCAGAATTTAGAAAGAATTTCAGCACTCGAAATATTTTCAAATAAAAAAGTATTCACTATAAAGTTGTAAATCTCATTGACCTCTATAATTTTGATATATAAAGTTTGTCTTCATCCGATTTTATATGCAAAAGTTATAAAATTTTTTAGACAACTATTAAGGGTTGTGATGTAATATATAGCTAGGGACATAATAGCCGATTTCAACTTTTCTCTCCCGTCCAGTCCTAGAAAATATATTTATCTTAATAGCCATAGTGTCTAAGAGCCAATTGTCACAATTAGAAAGTGTATTATAGTAAAGACCATGTTATCCCGTTCGGTTCACCCCATATTCGGCTTGTTCGACTTGTTTTTTCAGGCGGAACAGTGTTTTTCAGCCACTTTCAGCCAAGATTCAGCAAGCCGAACGGAGCAATTGAGCAGTATCTATTAGCAAATATTCAACATTAAGGAATGCCGTACAACAATTTTTCTCTTGCTAATTGTTTTGTGGTGTTTTTTCGTGTTGGTGGTTGACATTGTGGGGGTATCTGTTGTGTGATTTTTTTTATCTTCTCCTTTGTATTAATATACATAGACTGACTGTTGCTCGTCCGTTTCTGTTCAGGGAAAAACGTTATGACTTACTGTATTTGGTGATGAGATGGGAAGATATTTGACCTTGGATCAGTATATAGCTATGAGTTTCTTCGTAAGATAGGTAGACCATAGCGTCAAATATCGCACCTAAAAAGACCAGGCCAGTTAATCTCTCCCAACGTTGACACCTCTCTTCCCTCGTGAATTCCTCTCGAGCGTGCGTGTCTGAGGGTAAAACGAAAAGAAATCCCAGCGTGCGCACGGCCGAACCGTCTCGTTCTCAGCTCGCCGTGACGTACGAACACTCTACACTCTACAAATGGCTCTCCTCTCCTTTTCTCCCACCAAACCCCACCATTTCTCCAATACTACATCGTTTTCACATCCCTCCAAAAACCCATACAAAAACAACCGTTGGCCTCTATGTACAGAAATGAAAATATATGCTTCCATTGACGCATGTCGATAGCTACATATATGAACTGCCAAGTTTTTTTTTGTGCAATTGTTGAGCAGGTACAAATCGTGGATTTTGATGGAACAAACTACAAAAAGATGATGGAGTTATCTATAGAAATGTCAAAATGTTGGCACCTAATAGTAAGGCTGGGCAAAAATAACCGAGAACCGAACCGAAAGAACCGGAACCAAAACCGAAAGAACCGGAACCGAAAATTTCGGTTTCTTATTCGGTTCCTGACATTGAAGAACCGAAATAACCGAAGAAAATTCGGTTCCTACTCTCGGTTAACCGAATTACATGAATTATACTTCACTTACTTATTTTGTAGGAATATATGTAGTGTTTTATATTTGAACTGCTATATATTTGTATTACTATATTTCTATTGTTTTCTTATATATTATTATTATTAAAAATGAATATAGTGTTGCATAAATTTGCCTTAGAACAAGTATATTTATTATTGTCTTGAGGTCTTCTGAAAAAATTCGGTTAGTTCGGTTAGAACCGGAACCGAACCGAAATAACTGAGAACCGAAATGCTCGGTTCCTAAAAATTTTTGGAACCGATCGGTTCCCGTTTTCTAGGAAGCGAATTTCTTCGATAACCGAAGGAATCGAACCGAGAACCGAACGCCCACCCTGACCTAATAGCGAGAGAGATACATCATATGGTTCTTCTATCGTTTCATGAGGGTGACTTGCCCTCACAAAAACACTTGTTTCTCCATATTGACATAACATCGCAACTCGATCTCTTCCGTTACAAGCTCTTGTGTTGTCGTCTGAGTCTTGTATGGTGGTGCTTCTTCTTCTTCCTCTTGTCGAGTATTTAGGCCGCTTGAACAATGCACTGATAGCCAGATAGCCCAAGCTTGTATTTATTAATTTATTATCTTAATTATATATTATTTCGATCCATATTTATCTCGCTCGTGTCCATGGAGTCCTACGGCGGCGGCGGCGGCACGCGGACGTCGGCGTCCTCGCGGCGCCCCTGCACGTCGGTGTCCTCGCAGCGCCCCTACACGTCGGCGTCGTCGCGGCGCCCCTGCACGTCGGCGGTGGCCTCCCGCGCCGGCTCCGGCGCCTTCGCGTACGACGGCATGCGCGCCACTTCTCTGTCCACGTCCACGGACAACCTCCGCAAGGCGGTCTCCTTCGCCCACAAGAAGCCGCCGCCCTCTAGCGCCGACGCGCCGCCACGGCGGCGCGCGCTGAGCAGCAAGGAGAACGGCGCGGCGTCGACGGAGGCGCTGCTGATGTGGCCGCACCACCGGTCGATGCCGGAGCCTGGAGCCGCCACGAGCGGCGGTCCCTGGGAGCCGACGACAAGGCGGCGGCGGAGCACCGGGACGGTGGATGAGGCGGCGGGCGCGGGTAAGGGGTCGGCGTTGGCATCGGGCGCGCTGCTGCGGGAGATCATGGCGCCGCGCAGGAAGGAGGAACCGGAGAAGGAGGAGGCCGCGCACCGGGCGCGCATGCTGACGGCGCGGCTGCTGTAGTGGCGGTTCGCCAACGCCCGCATGGAGAAGGCCATGGCCCGCGCCACCTCCGCCGCCGAGGTGAGCCATGCCGTGCGGCATCATCGGCACGCAACGCAATCGATCGACAAGCAGTTTGTTTTGACATGTCGTGGTTTCTGACGGGCATTGTCGCGCCGGCGCGTGCGTGCATGCTTGCAGAACAAGCTGTTCTACACGTGGCTGCGCGTGGCGGAGCTGCGCAACATCCAGGCGGCGAAGCGGATCGTGGCCCAGCGGCGGCGGCAGAAGCTGAAGCTGGCCCGGCTGCTCCGCCCGCAGGTCCCCCTGCTGGCCTCGTGGGAGCCCCTCGCCAAGCCGCACGCCGACGCCACCGCGGACCTCGGCCGAGTCCTCTCCGCGGCCTGCACCAGCGTCCCGTTGGCCGCCGACGCGCGTGCCGACATGGACGCGCTCCACGAAACCATGTTCTCCTGCGTGGGCACCGTCAACGAGATCGAAGCCATCACCGACATGTTCTACGCCACGGTACGTACATTACACACACAAGCGCATCATGAAAGCGTTACACGGCCGGTGCGAACTCCGGTCGTCTGGGTCGCCCACGTTAATTTGCCTAAGTACGACAGGCCGGCGCGACGAGCGGCGCGGTGGGCGAGCTCGCGCGGACGATCCAGCAGGAGATGGAGTGCCTGGAGGAAGCGACGCGGCTGTCGAGCATCGTCACAGGCTTGCAGGTGGGTGCCCGGTCGCTCTCGGGAGATGCATGTCTCGCCGTAGCCGAGGCGGTAGTGAACCTCTGGTTTGATTGCCAGATACCCCACTTGGGGATCCTACATTTTGCTGCTACTACTGGTAGCTAGTCCACCAAGCAGCAAATAGGGCGCTCTTGGTGAGCTTGAGTTGCTTTCTCTTCCCTATTGTGCAGATGCTGGAGGTGAGCCTCCGGGCAAATTTGATGCAGGCAAAGCAGAGGATTGACCTGGGGCGGCGGGGACCGGCGGCCACACCGGCGCTCGCAACTTCTGGTTGGTGTTTTTGATCGGAGGACCAGACATGAACAGAAGCAGAGTACAACTACTCACCCACTATAGATTAAGAAAATTGATTAAGGTGCAAAACTTGTGTTCATCGTGAAGGCAGGCCATTTGATCCGACGTGTGCTAGCTTGGCGTATAGTATGATATGCGTGTCTGAATGAAATAAGTTAAAAGTGGTAGTAGATATGATGGTGAGAGGGTGCACCCTGAGCTTGCATTGCAGTGCACCTGTCCGATCTGATCGCCAGCCGGTTCTGCTGTCCTAATGGAGTATATATTTCTAGTGAAGTGAGGTATTTATTCATTTCGTGTGTGCGCTTCACTGCTTGTGCATATTTATGGATGCTGTTTGAGTTATTCATTGGCACCTGTGCAGAGACTATGCAATTCAGGTTATTCAAGGGCTTGCATGTATTTATGAACTACAGTTATTCAAGGGATTGCATGTATTTATGAACTACATACATCAGTTGTAAACATAGAGCTGAGTACTTATTCTGGGTCAAAAAGCGACTTGTTTTGCTAACCTGTGTTTTCGGATATACCCCCTCCATTCTTTTTTACATTTTTTGTCTTGAAATCAAACATTTCTAACTTTGACCATCAATTTTAAAAAAAAGTGTACATACTAACAATATAAGATTTATGTTTTTAGATTCACTATGACAAATATTTTCATAATACATAATTTACATGTTGTGAAACTACACGAACTTCTTAAAACTGTGGCCAAAAATTAGTTTTACTTACGACAAAACTAATATGACACGTACAAAAGAACCGAGGGAGTATACTTATAAAGGTTAGACAGTCCTTTTTGAAGGTATTTATAGGGTGCATGTGTTCATATGAGTGACGTGTCTGTAGATATGTACGTCTATGCTATGTACCGTAATTCGAATAAAAACAATGACTTCATTTTTTACTCAAGGCGCATGGATTTTATTCACAAGTCATGTTTGCCTTTTCACCCAAATGTACCATGCACTAGCCAAGCCAAATTGGTGGCTAAGGTTTGAGCCAACTTTGTCCACCAAAATGAGTTGGGGGCAGATCTAGCATCGGGGCGGGGTGGGGTTTAGCCCCCCTCCATGTAAATTAGTTTCCATAAAAGCCTAAAAGGAGGGGATAGGGATGGAATATAATGGAAGAAACCCATCCTAATCTATTTCTCTAGACTCACCATTGAAAATAAACTAAGATGTCAACTAGGAGAGCTACCAAAGCCAAATTTGGCACTCAACCAAATGAAGGCCAATTTAATCAAAGTACGCAAAATTTGGCTTGACATCCTTTGACACACATAGGGGTCACCCTCACCTAAATGATGGGATATCAATTTTTACTAATGTATGATGTAATTCTCTAGTACAGTAGTGATAATTCTTTCAATTTTGTATTGTGCGGATTTGGTTAAACAGGAAGCCACAGATCGGTTTAAGGACATGTTTCGCAATCTGCAGCATCTTAGGATACGTAACATTCACCAAGGAGGATAAAAAAACTTTTAAGTAACTGAATAAAAATATCCCAGACGATATGTCCATAAATGCCCAAAGCTGAAATTCGTTACAAAATTCTTGCTAAGTATACTCCGTCTGCCACGTAGCCATCACACAGCCTCCAAAAATTAGGGGTTTAACATGTAGTCCTAGCAAATGCTGATCGTCAATAGACCCGATCGATTGATGGGGCAAACTGGTCGACGTTGGCCTCCCATCTTTCGACGGATGTGACTTTTCCCCTCGCCCAAGCCAAAGGCCGAACTGGCAAACCACCATGGGTCCATGGCAATCGAGAAAACGGCCCACGCCACATGTAGCTAGGACAGCACGCGCGAACAGCACGCAACGGATGACGGGCCGTAAACGCAGTGGATAGACCATGGGCCATAAGCAATCTCATGGACCCACATATGTCAAGTGATGAGGCCCTCCCCTCAAAAAAAAAAGTTGGATATGAGGCCCAAGAGTAATAAGACCATCTTCTAGGAGATTTTTTGTTTGTTGTCTTCCACTTTTTCAGCAAATCAGAAGTTGCCGCGTAACATGTCACACAAAACAAACAAAACAATGAAAATACACCACGTATACATACCATGACAGCTTTCGGAAGATTCTGATGTTTGTTATCTTCCACTTTTAGAAAATGAAAATGTGCCACGTCAAGAAATAAAAAAAATACAGCACAGATACAGCACACAACACGTATAGAAAATCAAAATCTGGAATGAAGACATAATAAAAAAAGATGTACAGCACGTATAATGTGCCACGTCAAGGAATAAAAATACAGCACATCTACAGCCACAGATACAACACACAGCAAGTATAGAAAATCAAAATCTGCAATGAAGAAATAAAAAAATGTACAGCACGTATGCAGACGACAGCACGTATATTCGAAATGAATGCTTGGCAAGAATTGGTTTAAATAAAAAGAAAAACCATGATCAATCCGGCACCCATATTTCAATCAAATTTTTATTCACCTATTTGTAGTCACAGGGACATATAAATAGAAGAATAAGTCATTTTTTCATTTACACATCAAGGTTGGCATATTTAATTTGCAGATATGAATCCAGTCTTATTATGCTGCATATCCAGGTAATCTGTGCCAAGCTACCAGCTGTCAGCCGGTCATCACAATACCAGGGTATCGAAGGAATTAACTGCAGTATTCATTAACCTGAAACATGGAATCCAAAAAAAAGCCAAAGAAAAGGACTGAACAAGAGAGCAAGGCCTGCAGAAACCAAGCAAAACCATGGCATCGTTTATGCATCTCAATGGAGCCTGTGGAAATGCAGAAATCTGCAGTTTGGTATTCACAGACATTGCAGAAATCATCAACTGCTAACCCTGGCACTCATCGGCGACCACTGCAGCCGCTGCCGCTGCCGCAGACAACACCACTGCAGCCAACACCGCCGCCAACAGCACCGCCCCCACCGCAACCGCGGCCGCCACAGACAGCTCCTCCGCTCCTGCCGACAACTCCGCCGGCGCCGACAGCTCCGCTGCTGCAGACAGCTACGCCGACGACAGCACCGCAACCGCGGCCGCAGACAGCTCCGCCACCACCGCAACCGCCGCTGCCGGCAATGGCGCAGCCGCCGTCGACACCTCTGGGAATACGAACTTCGAACTGAACCAGCGGTACGAAACGATAGCAGGCAGCAGTACAACCTAAGTGGGCCGGAAGAACAGAAGGCACAAGCCCATTATTATTTAGGCAAGCCTGTACACAAAAAACACAAATCTTAATAAAGATCTGAACCACACAAAAGTGGAAGAAAACAACACAAGAAATCTGCTGGCAGATATTTAGAAATTCCGTTTATTCCCTCCTAACAAAAAAAAGAAATAGATTTTTTTTTCTTTCCTGTTCTGTGGTGGCAAATTATTTCCGTGAAGATCGCACCGAAGTAAAGCATCATGAGCGTATAATCACGATACGACGGCGTCAGATTGCCGCAATGTTGCAGGTTCTGTTACACGATGGAGCTCATTGTGATCCTGTAATTCCTAATGCGCACCCGTGCCACTGTCTTTTTTTTTTTTTTTTTTTTTTTTTTTTTTGGAAGTCGGGAGGGGAGGCCCCTACCTAATTTGTATTAAAATTGCAAACTGTACAAATACAGCTGCAAAGCCAAGAGGCTCAGAGAGGAAACAAGAGAAAACACAAGGGGAATAAGGTACAGAAATGCAGAAGAAAAAGCTACAAAGAGCAAGAGAAAGAACTTGCAGAACTAAAATAAATTAGACTGAGTTGACAACATCCAGAGTATCTGTGAATTCTCAATTTGGTGGCCCTCTTGTTCTTGCAGCCGGTTGTTCCTTGTTCTGTGTTTCCAGAGTTGTAAAGTTTGCACTACATTCTCTTTGATTGCTGAGCAAGGTGTTGTAGCATTGTCAAATACTTTCCTGTTTCTTGCCAACCAAATATTCCAGGCTATTACAATTAAAATAGTTGCAGCTTCATTACCAACTTGTACCAAGTGAATTTTTTCTGCAAACAATAGAGCTTGAGCCATGTTTATTTGCTGATTTAGTGCGAAGCCTAAGGCTGCCCATACTTGAGTTGCATATGGACATCTGAATAGCATATGTTCAACATTTTCCTCTTCGTCACAACCATAGGGGCATAAGGCATTATCTATGATATTTTTCTTTGCTAGGATATCTCTTGTCTTCAGTCTTCCCTTTGCTGCTTGCCAAGCAAAGATCTTACATTTCTTAGGAGCTAAAGACGACCAAATATTCTGTGCTATTGGACAAATGACTCCTCCAAAGGTTAGCATGAAGTAAGCTGTTCTGACCGTGAAGTCCTTAGTTGGTCCAAATCTCATCTCTCTTGTATCTTCAAGATATGTTAGCCGAACACCGTCCAGTTGATTCAGTAACTGTAATAGTTCATGTTCTGCTCTTTGAGAAGTTAAGGCTCTTGTACGGATTTGCCATCCGAAATCTGATCTGCAGTCTAGAACAGTGACATTTTTGTTTACAACATGTGAGAACAAGTGAGGGTATTGGCAAGCTAAGGGCTTTTTGTTAAGCCAACTATCCAGCCAAAAGGCAGTGTTGTTCCCTTTTCCCACTGTTACTATTATCATTGCCCTGTAGAGGTCAATCAATTGCATCAGTTGTCTCCAAGCCAAAGTAGTCTTGTTGATTTTATCTCCTATCCTTTTTTTGGTTGGAATAAACTGAATTTCTTATCCATTTAGCCCAACTACAGTCAGGTTGAGTGTGGTATTTATGGATAAATTTTAAAAGGAGGCTGATGTTTTGTTGTTCTAAATTTTTGACACCTAACCTTCCTTCATGCTTTGAAGTACAAACATTTTCCCAAGCAACCATACAATTTGCCCCTGAAGTGTTTTTCCTGTCCCGTCCGAAAGAAAGCTCTTCGTCTTTTGTCTATCTCATGAATAAGCCATTTTGGTAATTTGAAGCATGACATCCCGTGCCACTGTCTCTGTCCTCCTTTTGTTCCC